ATTAACAAGCTCATAATCACCAATAACAATGACATTATCGTAGTATAAACTCATTTCAGTGAAATTAAACTTGGAAGAGAGGATAATTTTTCACAACAGAAAAAACAAACAAACGCCTTATTGGCTTGAAGATGTCAGTATTTCCAATTGTATCTAAGAGTGACTCCTAAGAGATCCGAATGCCAATATGAAAGTAATAAGCTATACTGTCAAAAGGTAAGCATAGCTACGCACCAGAGCAAAAGTGATGCAGCGCTTATGAAAGAGGACTTGTTTACAATGCATTATCAACATAGAACATTTTCCTTAGTTCAGAAAAGGTTATATGGAATCCATGAGCAAAGTCCCTTAGGGTGCCTGTTCTATTTAGGCTCAGATGTTAGTGGGGTCAATAGAAGGCCTCTCTGGAAAATCTGGGCTTGGGCAGACTCACAGGTAACCTCTTCCAAAGCTAGGACTTTATAACCAGCACTTTGCATTGTGCTTGGAAACAAACTAAACTGCTGTATAACATTGTAAAACTGCTGTATAACATTGCTTCCTATTATTCATGAAGGCCCTGCGTATTCTTGATGGAACTTGCTGAAATGTGTTTTCCTGTATTTTTGTGTTTTTATGTTTTAAACCACCCTGTGATCCTCAGATGAAGGGTGGTATAGAATTTAATGAATAAAATCATCATCATCATCATCATCATTTTAAGATTCTGATCCTCATTACATGGTGAAATATTGACCTTTTATGCAAATGTATGTCAGCTGAATTCTTTTGGGTTTCAATCCATTAATTGTTCATCACTTTAATTTTCCATTACATATAGTTTAATTACATCCCTGCACCTAGTGACTTAGCAACATTATATGCATCTTTGGAAATAATCAGATCTGCAGGCAGCTGGGAATTATCCCTGTGAGGCAGGTTCTTACGTAGATTAAATTTTGAAGACATCTTCACATGGGAAATCTGCCCTAAGGCTCAGATTCTTGCAAAGAAGACATCATTGCAGACAAAACAACTATAGCAGGGTATGAAGAAATAAAAGTGTTGGTAAAAGATATAGCCTTACAAAATCTGATAAATGCCCACACTTCATTTTTTTTCTTCTCACGGTAAATATATGTCCTCTATTCCCTGCCCCTATAGGATTAAATGAAGTAATGAGGATCTGTAACTTTCCTCAATGTATTCCAACATTGGCATGCTTGGAACGGAGGAGCCAATGGCAAAGCAACATAACTTAATTGCTAGAACAAAGATCAGCAGAGAGACATATTAGAAACCCCAGTGTAAGTAGAAAAGCGAGTACAAATCAAATACAATCCAGAGAGAAAGAGAGGGATTGGATGCAACTCATCAAGTTTGCTAATATAACAGCCATGAGCACATCTGATTTTACTGCTGCTGTTTCTCATTTCAATTCTGCTATAGTAAGCCTGTACTGAACTACTAGAAATCACTTGGTTAGTGAGAACTAGACTGCTCTGGCCCATAAGAATTGATTTCATTTCCATGGATGCATGTTGATCTGACTTTTGAGAACCGCTGTTCTAATAATCAATATCCATTTTCTATTTCCATGAGGTCACATAAGTCAAATCCACCTAAACAGAGATAAAGAAAAATGCCACACCATGGATATTTGCTAGCAAAGGCAACAGTTATCAATATAAAAGCTGAAAGCCAGGAATACAAAATTAAAATTGCCTTTCAAAGAATGTAAGCTGTGCATAGAGTTAGCATTCAGTATGAATCATAGGGTTATTGCATGCTTAGAGTGTTCGTTGAGAGAAGAGCTATTAATTCATCCAGTTAGTATTCTCTGGTTGGTAAGTTTGTTTACAGCACATAATCTCTCTTAAACATTGAGATATTGGAATAAAATTTGGCCAATGGCTTCAGGACACAATTCTGCATTTCCAGTATGAATACCAGTTTGCCGCCCTCCTAAACACATGCACATATCCCAAAGGGAAAGAATTCTACAAAATATATAATAATGCAATATTATGTTCTGAAGTAGCATAGATACCAAACCTTGAAACTGATGGGTTCACAGTTTAGAAGAACTACATCAACAACAAGCAAATGCCAAGTTCAAGTCTCAATATCAGGGTAACTTGTTATCAGCTTACCTTGGTTACAACCACCCCTGCCTGGTGTTTCTTGCTTAAAGTTTCCTTCCTTTTCCAAATTTACCTTGCAGTTGTGAGAAGAACAGGTGGGAGGAAAGATCAATGGCAGAAGAAGACCCATCTTAAATTTCCACATTCTTGGTGACATAATGGAAGCCTCTGAGCATGTCCAAGGGCTTCTGCTATGGCCATTGGGGTCAATGTGATCCATAATTTGGTACAAACCATCCAGGCAGCAGTAATTGCCTTGATTCTCAGCAGGAAGCATGCTTTGTAGCCTCTAGTATGTCACCAAACATCTAAAGATAGGCCCTCTGTTTTTCCAGCATTTCTCACTACCAGAAGTATTTTGAGCAGTAGTAGACTCTGGTGTTGGTCATTTTAAAAGGTATTCTGGAATACTGTGCCAAAACAGAAAAAAGATATATAGCATTTGTCATACTTAGCTGACCTGCCTCCCTCTTTGTGAAAATGAGTTTTTAATTTGCCCTAATGGGCAAGTGGGTGGTAAACCGTTACGGTTTAAGATGCTAAAATGTGTTTGGAAACACAAGACCAGTGAACCCACTTCAGCTTATGAAAGATATGAGCATAATAACATCGAACAGAAATCAATAGGAGGAGGATGGAGACCAAGGCGTCTCCCATGTGACCTCCTAGATGCCACCCACGTGACCTTCTAGATGTTCTACCAGGCTTAGGTTCCACCATCCTGAAGAGAATTCAGTATACTTGGAAACTAAGTTGCCTCTTTCATCTAAGACCCCGAAACAGCCAATAAGAAAGATCTAGGTAAGACAGAATTTTGGAAGGACTTAGCAGAAAAGGCATAGAATTAGTGTCAAGACTTGAACCTTGAAAGAGCACAAGTTATTCCTCATCATGAGTTAATCACCATCCACATGAAAAGGGAGCGGTCTTAGCAACCTCAGGGCAACCCCTGGTTTGCAGAAATATCAAAAATCTTTAGGGCAGGGGAGCAGTCCAGGAGCATGAGACCCTTAATCTCAGTCATGGGTTCAAGCCCCATATTGGACAAAAGATCCCTGCATTGCAGGCAGTCAGATTAGATGACCCTCATGGTCCCTTCTAACTCTACAATTCTATGATTCTATGACTACGGATGAGTCATTCTACTGTCAGACAATCTAGGAGTAGGAACGCTGAGGGAAGGCTTTGATTTTATAGCCTGAATAACAGTAAGTTAATGCTAAAGTGCAAGGCCAGAATATAGAGAAACATTGTTGATATAAAATATTTGTAATGGGGGGGGGGGGGAATCCAAAATAATTTGGAATGAGAGGTCTGAAGGGTGGCAACACAAAAACGGGCCTTTTCTGCAGTGGCTCCCTGCTTTGGAAATGCTCTCCCCAGGGAGGCTCACCTGGAGCCTTCGTTGCGTATCTTTATGCACAAGGCAAAAACTTCCATCTTCTCCCACACCTTTGGCTTATTAAAAAAACTATGACCCTTTAAACTGGGTGCACGCGTGCATAATTGTTTTTGTTTGTTACTATGTTAAGTCTTTTTTACAAACTTCCCTGAGATCCTCAGATGAAGGGCAGTATAGAAAATTAATAAGTAATAAAAATAGGATTTTTACTTTACACAGGCACCAGATTTTTAAGGAGCAACGTTTTCCAAACTAATACTGCAGAACTTAAGTGGAAAATGAAAACCAACAACATGCAGCCTTTACTATTTATAGTTTTCATCATTATCACTTACTAGGCTTGTTTCCAGAAGGGGAAGCTGAAAAGCAGAATACTAAAAAGCTGCATAATGTTGTGGAAGGAGTGTCCGCACTCAACAGTAATAACTAGAGATTTCCAAAATATAGACTGTAAATTTTAGGAGTTAATATCATTTAACTTAATTACTGGTGGTTGTTGTTTTTTATAACACACAATAATAAAAATCTACAGCCTGCTGCTCATCCTCCCAGGTCCACAGTCACAATTCTGCAAGGTGACTTTCCCAGCTGTTGTTCCTATTGTTGCAGCCTCATTGACCTGCTGTTTGCAACACTGAACGTGAACTAGCCACTGATGAGACCTACATGCTTCAGCAGATTGATAGCGCTACAACTTATCATAAGGTCAAGAAACTGCAGCCGGTCTGGAACAGTGGTGGAATTTGGGCTCTCCAATTTCAGCGGCACCCAGTGTGATGCTAAAAGTCGGCACCCCCTGCCTCCCAGCATTGTTTCGGCACCACCTGCAGCACGGCACCCATCACGACTACAGCGGTAACGCCTCTGTCTGGAAACAGCACAATGTAGAATTATGCTGACAGGAGGGAGACCTTCTCAGCATGTTCTACCCCTGCACAGGAACCTGCACCAGCTGTAGATATGCTACCAGGCCAAATTCAAGGTGTTAGTGTTAGTATCTAAAGTCCTCAACAGCTCTGGATCAGTTTGCTTGAAAGATCACCTCCCTCCCCCCCATAGGTACCCACTTGATCTCATTGATCTTTGCTGCACAATGTTCCTTCACAGATCTTAGAATTGTAGAGTTGGAAGGAACCCTGAGAATCTTCTAGTCCAACCCCCTAACCCTGGTTGACATCCTATATCAACTCTGCATCAGGAACAAGGAGCCTGTAGTCCAGATGGTGTTGGACTACAGCATCCATCATTTCTGAGCATCTCCAGCCATATTGGCTGGGGCTAAGGTCCTACAACATCTGAAGGGCACCAGGTTCCCCCATCCCTGTTCTACATCACCCCAGGCTTTGATAGTGGGCTCACCATTTTCGGAGGATAGGAAGCTACCTTTTATGGACTGAGAACATTGATCAATATCACTCAGTACTGTTTTCACTGATTAGTAGCGTCTCTCCAGGGTTTCAGGCATTGTTCTCTCCCACCCCTACCTGGAGATTGAACCTGGGACCTCCTGCATGCAAAGCAGATACTCTGCCACTGAACTATGGTCCTTTCCAACAACATCCCCACCATACTACATAGAGATTATGAAACGCATGTTGATGACTCAGATCTTTCACATCTGCTTTCCTTAACACACTCCTTCCATTTCTCTTACCGTTGACCTGACTCACCCACTTGTAGCTTTGGGTACTTTATATTATTATTTTGTCTTCACTAAGCACCATTCCGTGCCATGACCTTTCCACCATGGAATGTATTTATTACGGTAATTATTTGAAACATTTTTTGTGCTGCTTCCATATTGAAGCAGTTGCTACCGGCCACCACTCCGGCTTGTGGGATGTAATCCACTGAGAGCAGTCAAGTACAACGTTCCTTGTAATGCTAGAGAAGACATGTGAGGGAATGTTTGGTCCAGCCAGTTGAAACTTCCTGTTCTTCCTGGCTGGAGCATCCTTCCTTTTGCATGTGATAGAAGGTGGCCATGACCTAACCTGTCCAGGTATCAAAAAGACGAGTCACGCAGCACACCTCTCTCTTTTTCACTTCCTTCTTTCTTTGACCAGTTTTTAGCTAGGACTGCTCTGCTAGCAGAACACTGGGATTATTCCCCATATGGGGTAGATCCACATGTACATATTTGTAACTAAGTCTGCCTTCAGGGATCACACTGTGAACCGATGTAAGTAAACTTCTTTTATTGACTTTGAATAAGATTGTTGCATCTTTTATTCTTTTAAGAGGGATTAAAGGGAACTTACCAGGAACACACAATTCAATCTGAGACAGACTGAATTTCAATCTGAGACAGACTGAATTGTATAATAGTGAGAAGCTCACACGAGCTTGCAACCAGCTATCTGCTGTGCATGTAAAAGGGGAGTGTAAACTCTGCTAAGTAAATAAACAATATATCCTCTCCTGCCACCCTGAACATTCCCACACAGCTCACAGGAGAAAGCAACTGCAGTTCCCCTACTTACTGCATGGCTATTGCTACACCTGTGAATTCTGCTATTTATTGCAGAACAGCAAAGAACTGTGGGAAATCCAAGCTGCAGTGCTATGTCTGCCTCTTGTTTCTCACTTTGGTGTGTGGGCTTTCCAATGCTGAGCAAAACAACTTGGGACTGGTGTTTGGCATCTGCTCTGCGGTTTCTCTCCTGCCTTTTTTGGCCTGATCCATTATAGGATTTTTTTAAAAAAACATTTGTCATGGCGTCACAATCACAGTGCACATGAAATAGGCAAGCATTTTGGTCACCTGTAGTTGTTTTTTACTACCATATCAACAGCACAAAGTACCCAGTATACTTGAAAGATCTTGCCTGCCAAGAAGAGTTTAGCTGAAGTGGTAAATAATACACTAGTTTGTTCTGCTAAACCAGTAATTGTATTTATTGTACTGCTAATCGCATCAAGCTTCCAATCATAATTGGACAGTAAAAACTGACTCTCCTTTAAGAGAAGAGTGCAGCTATCTTACAATGCTGACTCTCAGAGAAGAGTGCAGCTATCTTACAATGAAGTGAATGGGTGATTACCAGAATAGACCCCATCAAAATCAATAGACATAAGTCCATTGATTTCCAAGTATGGCTAGGTTTATATATCACCCAGTGTTCTCCTTGAATTATTCTTAAGGGTTGAGCAATGCAGAAGAAAATTGCAAAAATAAAACTTCTATTTTTGGTACAACAGATGCTTATGTGAACAGAAATATTCTAGCAGACTGTATCACCTAAATGAGAACACATAGTGATTCTCCAGTGGCCAACTTTGTGGGAACTACACCATGATCACGAGCATGTGCTAAAAACCCGTTTTTTAAATCAGTATGTTATTTGAAAAATTAATTTACCTATTCAGAGAGAGAGAAAGAAAATGCATACCCATAAGGAAAATCTATAACCTGTATACAAATGAAAATTAATAAATGTAATAGATTGCTCTCACAGTGTGTAAATACATTTCATCTTCAAACACTCATTAATCCAAACAACACCTCCAGAGAGATATCGTAGGTAAATAGAGTACTTAAAGCAGAGTATTAGTGGGGTGCTCAAGGACTATAACATACGGGCTTAGCTGCAAATGTGCAAAAAAAACCAAAAAACTTTCCCCCCTCAATGTAAAACGTTTTTGGACCAACATGAAAGTTTATTAGGAAAGCTGTCACTTTGAATTATATTTTCTGCTTGGAAAGTGTCCGTGTTGGTTGACCTAAAAAGAGAAAGATCTGGCATTCTCCAATGCATGGAGCCTCCTGGGAAGTGAGATACTAATATGCCTCACATACCATATTGGTGTGGTTTCAAAACAGATCCAGAAGGAAATTTTAAATAGCGAGTCCCTATGAATACACGTACTGGTGTATTCCTGTGGTTTAAGTCTGTGTTCAAATTCAAGGGAAGGGTCAAAGTATAAATAACAGCATTTTAATTGAAGCAATATTTGACAATTCACTGTAATAGTCAGATCAGAAATAATTACTGCCTGGATGTGCTTTTTCCTCCTCCCTCCTAATTCCCCTTCCTTTCATGCCACAGCTCTTTGACTCTAAGTCTGAGCAGTGCCATCTTACTAATTTTCACTGCAAGCTGGGAGCTTCTTCTTTTTTTGTTACTGCTGAAGAGCAGAAAAAACAATCATTTTGTTCCATAAAAGCTAAAATGACTGCTTGCATGGAAGGGTGTGTGTGTGTGTGTGTGTGAAGCATGGCATCCTTTTCAAGGACTGCAGTTGCTAAATGCCTGATATTTAGCTCATTGTGGCAACAACAGATGGTCATGATCTGTGAAATCATGTTTGCACATGAAGACGCAGAATGTCTCAGCAGCAGATAGAAATGGGTTGGCGTGACCTCACAAGCAATAACCAACATCTCGCAGCAGCATGGTGGGAATGCAGCTAAGTGATTGCACAAAAGAGGAACTGTAACCATGATGGTCATGACAAAACAGCACTTACTTAGCTCCCTAGAAACTTTCCCCACCAATACAAGAGCCAACCACTGTGGAGGAAAGCTACACTTCAGTGTCCAGTTATAAGATGCTACTTCTATAGATAATAAAATGGCATTTCCACTGTTGCTTGGTCTAGCAGAAGGACAAATAACCTCACCTAGGTCACACGAGAGGCCTGTGTTGCTCTGTGGTTCCATAGTGTTCTGCATGGTGCCATAGGGACATATTACCCATCACTAAACAAAATTAATTCCTAACAACATTCTCTTTCATTTTTCAGGCAGTTTCAACCATTTTCAAATGGTCATGTCTCCCCCGGTGTGATCAAGCGCAGCTCCACTTTGAGACTTCCGTGTGTCTGCTTGGTGCACTGTGCCATATCGACAAATGAAAGACTGCTTTCTACACCAATAAAACATATGCATCGTTCATCCTTTCATGGGTCTGTTGCACCGTTTGAAGCAACTGGAAGTATAAGAACTGACTCCTTTCGGAAGGAATCATTGTCCAGGCCCATCAAAATGTTATTCCAAGTTTTGCTGGCAGAACTGTTCAAAAACTGAACATAAGCATCAAAGGTGCAACCAAAATATCCATGCAAAGTCTTGTGCTGTCCAGCACAGGCTCAGCATCTTAGAAAATACGAAATAACCCATTCAGACCTAGAAGCAGAGGTCTGTCTCTCCCCACAACCTGCATTCCAGCTTCCAATGATTGCCTTAGGTTGCTTACTCTCCCTTCAGGAGAGCTTCATTTACATTTTCACTCCATGGAGTTTAGGAGACAAAGACTCAAAGGCAACTCCCTTTCAAAGTGTAGATTTGCAACTCAGTACCTTCACCACATGATCCAAGGTTCACACTCAGCACAGAGTAGAAAAAGAATCAACTGGTAATCATTAACTAGTTACAACTCAATGTCCTTTAGAAACTTACCGTGGAAACAACCCAATGTTAGCAATAGATTTTCCTCATGTTGAACCTTCATTAATACACATACATTTTCCATCTTTGTGTCAATTAAATCTATTATGCTTAACAGGGTCAAGGTGTAGAGAGCAACATGCAGATGGGCCATTATTGTGGGCAGCCTTACCCCCAGCAGATCTAGACAGTCATCATCATTGCCAGATCAGAATTTTCTGATCCTTGCATTTCTAGGTTGCCTGGTCACTTTGGAGCACATAGGAAGCTGACTTATAGCACTGCAGCCTCCTGTACAAAGGTAAGAATCACACTTATTGCACTGATGACTTTTGCTTCAGGTAAAGAAGCTGGTACCTAGAAGGTTCTACATTTGGGAATGCAGCCTTCTGGCTGAAAAAGGTTACCCCCTCCTGCTATTGATCATAGTTCTGTTATATGGAAGATGGTTAGGTAATAGAAATTGATGCCATTTGCATGATTTAAATACATCACCAAATGAAGGTTGATTGGCAGCTTTGATCAAATGTCAGAGTTATTCAGAACCTATATATCTTGTTTCTTTTAATGAACCTCTGATCTCCAGCTCCATTTCTCGATGTGAATTTCTGTGGAGTACAACATTTTTTTTTTAAAGATGCTGACATTTAAAAGAGGGACTGAAACCTGAAAGTTGCCTCGATTTTTGAATGTAAAATAGCAGACCAATTAATCCCAGGTGCACTTTGCCATTTTCACAAATGGTGAGGAACTGCACAACGCCAATGGTGAGAAATCTAAGATTTTCTCAGCTCAGTCCCTTCTACGTATGTTCTCAGATGCAAATCCCACCAAGTTTAATGGGGCTTACTCCCCGGTAAATGGGTATTGGGATGCAATCAAAACCATGAAGATCGTTTAAATCAGGGGCACTTAACCTCTTTTAGCACCAGTGTCATATTCACAGTTCAGTTCATCCCTGTCCCCCGATCTTATGCTCAGATTTCCACATTAGCTTGCAATTATTACTTTTTAAAGTCCTCGGGAAAATCCACCAGCATTTTACTGCTAATTTCTCCTAACATACACATTATTCTATGCAACTTTGCCTAATATACAAAGCCACTACCCCTGATAAAATGTGTGTTTTCACTAATATATGCATTTATATGCACAT